GGGTCTTGCCTCTAGCCTCTTTGCAGGGAGTTCTGCTGAAGGGTTCTGTGCTGGGCCTGCATGCAGCCTGGGTCAAATGAGGATCCCCGGGCCCCGAGTCATCTTACTCACTCACGGGGCCTGCGCTCTGGGTCAGTTCAGGATCCCACAGCCTGGGTCATCTCACTCACTTGCCGGACCTGCGCTCTGGGTCTGTTCAGGATCCCGCGGCCCCGGGTCGTCTCACTCACTCGCCAGGCCTGCGCTCTGGGTCTGTTTAGGATCCTGTCGGCCCGGGTCATCTCACTCACTCGCCGGGCCTGCGCTCTGGGTCTGTTCAGGATCCCGCGGCCCTCGGTGGTCTCACTCACTCGCCGGGCCTGCACTCTGGGTCTGTTCAGGATCCCGCGGCCTGGGTCGTCTCTCTCACTCGCTGGGCCTGCACTCTGGGTCTGTTCAGGATCCTGCAGCCCGGGTCGTCTCTCTCACTCGCCAGGCCTGCGCTCTGGGTCTGTTCAGGATCCTGCGGCCCGGGTCGTCTTACTCCACTTTTTCATTTTAGAGGTAGCTCCCCAATAAGCCATTTGTACTCCTAACACTACCTTAGTGACTACTTGCAGGGTAAGCAAACATAAATTGCTAGATTTAATCTCTCAGTAAGTAACCCAACACATCCAAGTTGTGCTAGAAAAGAGGTAGGCCTGTTATCCCAGCACTCAGGAGGCTGAGGCAGGAGGCAAGGCCGCCGAGGTTGCATAGCAAATTCAAGGCCAGGCTGGACTACACAAAGAGACCATGTCTCAAAGACAAAAATAAAGAAGACAAAGTCTGTTACAGGACAGAGAGAAAGACTAGAAATTCTTATGTAACCCCAATACACAACGAGATTACACTTCATTCACCTTTCTAATCTAGCTGTTCGGCCCAGGAAGATGGCATTATCACTCCCTCCTACATTCCTAGATTAGGGAAACACGTTTCATGGCCATCTGTGCAAAGAGGACACGCACATCGAAACCTGAGGTCCGTCCCAGGCAGGATGTGTGACCTTCCCAATGCGCAAACTCCTGTGCCCTGGGCCTCAGCCCGGCTGCCCGCTGTGGCCTGTCTACCTTGGAGGAATGCCTGAGAGCAGCGGTGCAATGCTGCATCTTGGTGAAACCAGACTGCTTTTGAATTTAAAAAAAAAAGTGCCTGATTTTTTGCTCAAAAATAAAAACTCATGGTTGAAAAATGACTTTCCAACTCAGGGGAGATGTAGGCCATCACAAGCTTCAGGTCAGTTAGCACAATGACTGCTCGATAATTTGGGGGAGAAAGCTATTCCAAACCAGTTCAGCTTAGGCTCTTCCTCAGTTCCCTGAAGTACTACACTGCTTGTTCAGGCATTTAGAGTCCCTCCATCGGTGCTCTGCTTTCATAGCAATGGGCACCTGATAAATGTTGATGGATAACAGCCAGAATGTGGAGCAGGAGACAATAGCTGCAAGGATCAGCAGCATGAGGAGGACCCTTAGCTCCAGAAGAAGGTGGAGAGCACCTAGAGAAACAGAGGCCATGAAATCATCTACTAGCCCCGCAGATCCAGTAGAATGAAAAATCAAGCCAGTTCAGGAAGATCAGCCCCTTGCTAAATCTATTAGTCACTGATTAAGCAAGCAGTACATGAGCATGCAATGTAAACCCCTCTGTAATGGAACCATGGTAACTATTTCTGTAATTTTACAAGTGTTTAATATATAGTTTCTGTGGCATACTTTGTCCCAGATCTGTTGTACTTAATTATGATCAGTTTTGTTAAATTTTTTTGTTTAATTTTATGTATTTGGCATAGGGTCTCACTGTACAGCTTGGATTCATAGTGATCCTGTTTTCAGCCTCCCCAGCACTGGGATTACAGGTGTGCACCACCATGCCTGTACTAATTTGCTGGTTCAGCATGCCCAGGGGTGGGGCCAATGAGGCATGAGGAATCGGGGATCGAACCCGAACCCCAGTCCTGCATTTGCCTAACTAAGCAGGCACTTACCCGCTGAGCTATCTCACCAGCCATATTACGATCAGTTGACATGGTGACCATGCAATGTAACTTCATATCCTTCAGGACTACTAGAAGGAGATGATACAAACACAGGGTTCTTGACAAGAATGTTGCATGGTATTATTTTAATCAAATAATTAACTTTTGTCATTTTTGAGACAGGGTCTCCCTATGTAGTTCAGGCTAGTCTTGAGCTTGCAATGATCCTCCTGCCTCAGCCTCCTGGGACTACCAGGCATGCGCCACCATGCCCAGAACTGCATGGTTAATTTTAAGGAAGTAAAACATACACAATGGAATGCATTTTCAAAAGGCTTTAACTGCTTCAGAACCACCCTGCATTCACAGGAATGCCAAGAAAGACTGGCTGTTATCCTCCATGAGTTGGGGCTCACTCTAAGGGGGTAAGGTTGGCACCCCAAAGAGCATCGCTTTTTTATATCAGGGACAGAAATTGATTCATTTATATCATGTGAGACCTACAGTAAGTCTTGGGCATATCTAAGTTGTACCTATTACAGTATCTATGGACTTCATT